GTTGCCTATAAACCACAAAACTTTGATTATTAAAGGAGTATCTTACATAATTTTGGTGTACCCTTTGTGATATAAAATGTTTGAGGGAATAACCCCCTTTTAAGACCAATGTGGTACTGAGGCTCATGACCATTTCTACTCACAAAAAGATATATTTCATTAACTCTGTGGTGACTTTTTTTCACATTTTTTTTAAAGTTTTTTATTTATTTGAGAGAGATAATGGGAGGAGGGGCAGAGGGAACAGGTAAAGAGAGAATCCTCAAGCAGACTCTGCACTGAGCGCAGAGCCCTATGTGGGGCTTGATCTCAAGAGTCTGAGATCATGACCTGAGCCGAAATTAAGAGATGATTAACTGAGCCACCCAAGTGCCCCCTTTATTTTTTTACATTTTAACATCTTTGAAATTGGGATGCCTTTTTTTTTTAAATATTTGAGAGAGGGAGAGAGAGAGAGAGCATGCATAAGTGGGGGAAAGTGGCAGAGGGAGAGGGAGACAAAGAATCTTAAAGGCTCCATGCCCAGCACAGAGCCCAAGGTGGGGCTCGATCTCATGACCCTTGAGATCATGACCTGAGCTGAAATCAAGAGTCGAATGCTTAACTGACTGAGCCACCTATGCGCCCCTGAAATTGGGATGTCTTAAAATCAGTAGTGTGTTTAATTTACTTAGCATTTTTTGTCTTAGTGGTACATAAAATAATGTCTTACAATTACTGGTGTTTAGATATGGTGAAACATGTTGTGTAGTTCCTGTACTTCAGGTCAAAAGAGCAGACTCCTTCCTAAGTGAGGTAAAAATTCTCCTTTGGCTTACTTTACTCTTTTCCACTTTAACTATTTTTCAGTAAGACTAAGGGGAGGAAGAAAAGGAGAAAAAAAAAGAGAAAAAAACAGTACTATGTTTCAGGTATACTAGGTGTAGATTATTGCCAAGTAAATGAGCTTCAAGAAATTAGAAGACCTGGGTATATTTAAAGGAAGACCAATATTCTTTGGAAATAGAATCATAGAATTACAAAGTAAAACGATCTCAGGAGCCATCTAACTCCAGTTTTCTCAATATGGAACTTTTTTATTTTTTATTTATTTATTTATTTTTTAAGATTTTATTTATTTATTTGAGAGAGAGAAAATGAGAGACAGAGAGCACGAGAGGGAAGAGGGTCAGAGGGAGAAGCAGACCCCCGCTGAGCAGGGAGCCCGATGCGGGACTCGATCCCAGGACTCCAGGATCATGACCTGAGCCGAAGGCAGTCGCTTAACCAACTGAGCCACCCAGGCGCCCTGGAACTTTTTTTTTTAAGGTTTTATTTATTTGTCAGGGGGGGTGGAGAGAGAGAGAGAGAGAGCACAAGCAGGGGGAGCAAGAGGCAGAGGGAGAAGCAGGCTCCCCACTAAGCAAGGAGCCCGATGTGGGATTTGATCCCAGAACTCTGGGATCGTGACCTGAGCTGAAGGCAGATGCTTAACTGACTGAGCCACCCAGGCGTCCCAACATTGAACTCTTTTTATAATTATCAATAATGTCCTATTTTATCTTGTAAGATTCCTTCTATTGCTTTCCCCTTTGAGATCTTTCGGACACTTCTCTTACACTGGCTATCTGCTTTGGCTATGCAGATCGTTATCTTCATTGATTTTATGGATAAAATATTGAATAGAATTGGGTCTAGCCAAGATTCTATAGCACAAGAATAGAGACATCCCTCCAAGTTGATATAGCTCCATTAATCAAGACTTTTTTGGTATGATTGTTCAATTAATTATGAATCATCCCAACTACTATAACACTTCCCTGCTTTAGGATAAAGTTCATTTTCCCTAAGGTGGCACTCAAAATTAAGAGTTTTTCATGGTCTGACTTAATTCTGGCTTGGACTCCTGCATTATCTATCCCACCATAAGCATCTCTGTTTTAGTCTGTTGGAACTGCTTGTTTTCCAAATCCTTCATGCTACTCATGGGCCTTCTCCGCACCCCCCCCCCCCCCGCCCCGCCACCCCGTTCCTGCTGTCTGAATTCCTTTATTCTCTTTATGTAGTACCTATGTATACTTTAAGTCTCACTTCCAGTGTTTCCTTGCTAAGAAATCTTTCCTTGACAAACCACCTATATCTTCATTAGATTTAAGTATGTCTCATTGATGCTCCCGACACCCTTTACTTCCTTCCATTGTAGTACTTCACATATTGCACTATATTGTTAAAACTTGTCTCTCCTAAACAAAAAAACACCAACCAACCAAACAAAAAAACCCAAAAACCCCTTGTTGGAGGGCGGGACCTATATTTTCTTTCTTTGCCCTTGGCACAGTATGGTACTTAATACTGGTTTGAATTAATGATTTTTTTTTTAAGATTTATATTTATTTATTTATTTGACAGAGAGAGACAGCGAGAGAGGGAACACAAGCAGGGGAAGTGGGAGAGGGAGACGGGGCTCGATGCGGGGCTCGATCCCAGGACCCTGGGACCATGACCTGAGCCGAAGGCAGACGCTTAACGACTGAGCCACCCAGGCGCCCCTTGAATTAATGATTTAAGTGTAATAATCTCATGAGACCTTATTAAATAACCTGAATATGCATCTCTATACTCTATCAGTTTGTTAATGCTGTCAAAATGAAATGTAGAGATTGATTTCAACTATTCTATTCTCTCTTGTATATGTACTACACTATTTTTTTTTTTAAAGATCTTATTTATTTGACAGAGAGAGATACATTGAGAGAGGGAACACATGCAGGGGGAGTGGGAGAGGGAGAAGCAGGCTTCCCGTGGAGCAGAGCCCGATGTGGGGCTCGATCCCAGGACCCTGGGATCATGACCTGAGCCGAAGGCAGACGCTGAACGACTGAGCTACCCAGGCACCCCGTACTACACTATTATTCATATCACTCTAGAAGGCTTATGGTACTAATTATGTATATACAAGTAGGTTTCTCAGTAGACTAGGGCTAAAGGTCAAAGGTTTGTATCTCATAACTAGTTTATAGTAGATAGTCTATTAAAACAGACAGTGCTTTAGTAAAACTATGCTGTTTCTAATGATCTTGTCATAAAGTGAAGTAAATTTGTTAGTAGTTCCTAACTTTTTAAAATTAAAAACCAGGAAAGTTGTACATTTCCACTCCTCTGGCATCTTCTAGTTTTCTACAGCATTTCTGAAATCATTATCTACAAGTTCTTTTAGCACCAAGGATATAACTCTTTTGGACCTGGCACCTTTAAATCCTTTAAGTCAGTTAACTATCTCAGATTTTAATTTCATCACAGGCAAGTTATTTTACATTTTAGAGCTTTAAGATCCTTCAAGCTGGCTTCTTTTTAGTTGGGAGTAGGTTAGGACAGAAAGGAGATAAAGATTAAGTATTAAATACTTGATTCTTTCCATTTTTTCCATCCTTGATCTTGCTAGAAGCATATTTTAAGATTTTGAGAGAGGGAGAGTTTAGAGGGAGAGTAAGAGGGAGGAGGCTCCCCGCTGAGCAGAGAGCCTGATGCAGGACTCGGTTCCAGGACCCCAAGATCATGACCTGAGCTGAAGGCAGACAACTGAGCCACCCAGGCGCCCCTAGAAGCATGTTTTAAAAGTCCTGTTGTAGCCTTTAAGCATTTTTTTCCTCTGGCAAGCCTTAATTATTCTGGATTTGACTCTTCTAGAGAACATAGGTATTAATCATCCCTCACATCTATATTTTACAAATTTCTAATTTTTTTGTAATCCTTTTGAGGTTCCCAAAGCTAATGTTAGGAAGGTACGGTTACTATTGAGTTCATGTACAAATGAACAAATTGACATTTCAAGAGGTTCCAATGTTTTCTCTGTAGTCACCAGCTAGAAGGTAGCAAACCTAAGAGCACCTTTGCTAGACTGCTTCCAGAAAGAGCACAAGAATCCTAATCTAGGGATCCTAAACTATTTCTACTAATGTGAAAATAGTCCTAATTAGAACTGTACAAGTTCATTTAAATTATTTGCAAAACTCACGCTTCAACTAAGTACTGTAGTTTGAGGTACTTATCACAAAAAGTCTATTCAAGTATTTCAGTGCCTTACTAATGTGCTAGATGTTGTGTTGGATTCTAGATGCAGTAGTAAGCAAAACAGACCCAATTTCTGCCCTCATGGGGTTGTTTGGTAGGAGACAAATATACAAACTGTGAAAAACACTTATGAAGGCTCCATATAGAATATTACAATAAAGGAATATAACTTGGAGACCTAGTCTGAAGCAAGGGTGTGTATGTGGAAAGTGGGGGAAGCCTCAAGGCAAAAATAACCATAGGGCTTTCAAAAAACTCATATGCCTAAGAGACCGGGAGGAAAACACAGGAAAGAAGCCCATTTTGAGGCTTGTGGAAAAGAAGGTAGGGGACAGACCATGTAAGACTTTTGATATTTAGAGCAAGAAGCACCCATGAAGGGTTTTAAGCTACCAAGAAAAAAAAATCACAGGTAATATAAACTGTAAGCCAAAGAATAACTTAATAAGGTACAAGTTCCAACTACATATATCTCCTTTAAAAGGCTTATTTTAAAATTTTTGTTGGCAGAAACTATTTCAAAATGAACACAACAATTTTGGGGTTTGTCCTTACTCAGCTTAAGTTTGTACAAAAATATTTAAAATGGCTGCTTATACAAAATATTTTTAATGGATTGTTCATATCTGAACCCCTTTATTATGTTTCAAAAACATTTGTGTGATCAAAAAAAACAGGACTGAACTAAGCTTTAAATATTTGAAAGTAGCTTGTTTAGACTAGAAAACGGATACCAAACTGATCAGCCTAAAAGGAATACGTACATACATATACAATTTTCCTGTATATTAATCATTTAGTTAAAATCTTTTTTAAATAAAATACCACAGATGGAGAAATTAAAAGTCCAATTAATTTTTAGGTTACCCCCTTCCACTTATGATGAAAAAAATACTAATTTTTACATAAGTTTAAGATGGAAATATTTTTAACAGAATGAGACACCACAATGAAGGCTTCATGAATAATTTATTCCATTTGAAGTTTTTTTTTTTTTTAAAAAGTATAAACCTTTTCATTTCCTCAATCACAATTTGTACAACTCAGTGTTATGGCATTCGGCAGCAATAGTGTTTGTTCCTTATTCTTTTTTTGTCACATTAAAAAAAAAAAGCAATTGGACCATATTAAATGTCACTGCGAAACAACAACTTTAAAACGCCCCTTCATAAAGTGACCAAGCTATTTTGAGAGAGTTGATGCTGACATGTCCAGTAATGACGTTACAATTTGTAGTTTAAACTCAGTAACTTTAAGGTCCACAAATCCAGTTTACTTTGAAAACTAAAGCTATTTTAAAACTTCATGAGTACATCAACCTGAGGAGTATTTTAGGTCCCAAATCCAGTTTTTTAATTAATACTCCACAAAAGAGAAAACACATATGAAAATTTAAACCACAGTTCTGGGCCCATTAAAACACCAAGAAAAACCAGAAGGTTAAGATTTCCAGCTGATTGGGGGATTGAGGGGAGAGTGGAGGAGGAGGAGAGTGGGGCCAAAAAAAAAAAAAAAAAAATGTATGTCAAAAACATTTTTCCTTAATTTAGACAAACTAAAATCTTAAGAGGAAACCCAGACCAAAACATTACTCATGCAACATTAAATGTATTAACAGACTGATATGCGATGCCATAGTGGATGAAGAGCAAATTATATGATGCGACAGCATTTAAAAACTTCCTTTTAATGTATTCAATTTGAACATTTTAAATAATGCAACATAGTATTTTGATATTACAGTATTAACATAGTGCTTGATTAAAGATCTGCAAATCTTTGTAGTAACACATTAAGTTAAAAAATTACCTCAGAAGGTAAATACGAAGACGGAAGGAGAATATTTTAATACAGTAATCTGTGCCATACTGACAATTGAGTACGAATACAGCTGAGGATAGTTGACTAAGTAGTAAGAGCTTAATTTTAGTGGTTTAAGAAAAGTTTAGAAAGATTTAAAAATTACAGCTACTTTAAAATTTAAGGATTACATATAAGTACACTTGGTGGCCTTCTGGCCAAACAATAAGGTGTACAGAAATTTATTCATACAGTGTTAATTCACAGTCCTGATAACTGAATGGCTTGCATAAGAAAGTATGGCTAGATGTTTCTCACTGGTTGGAAGCAGACATTATATAACTAATCTTTTTAAATGCCAAAATACTGAACTTCCACCCTGCTTGGTAATGGATAACTGCACAAAAAACAGACATTAGCATTGTAACAAAGAAGTCAAGGTGTTGGTGATCAACTGGTATAAAGAATATATTATTTTGCTTAACTATTTAAACAAACAAAAAAATACTACCCATACTTGTCTGTGACAGTACATTAGTAAGTCAGATCCATCATCCTGCACAAAAGGCTTAATTTTTTTTTCTGAAATAAGTCTCCTGACCTTTTCTAATGGCTATTTAGCAATTTTCTATTTAAGTGTGAATTTATATATGAAGGGAAGAAAAAAAATCTTATCAGTAAATCCTGTATATTTGGGAACTACTCCCTGACTCCCAGATAAAAAGGAATTGTATACTGCATTCCTTCCTTATGGCTCCATATAAAAGAAACTGTCAGGGAGTAATTTTTTAAAAATCTATTTTCAAAACTGAGGTGTGGTTACTATAAGCTAGTGATAGTAAACAACTGAGAATACAGTTTTCATTTTTAAAAGTCACTACTGAGCTAAGTATATTTTAAAAAGGATACTTTTTATAGAAATTCCAAATAAGCATCTTTTCCCTCAAATCTCAGACAAGTTTTTTTTTTAAGTACAGAACAAAACATGCCAACATAATCTGTAGTGTGCTAGCATAATTTAAAAATGAATGCAGAGATGAGATCTTTAAATTTTAATTTCAAAAATGCTGACCACTGGAATTGCATTGTAATTTTGAAGAAATGATTGAAAACCTTTGTCACCAGTTGTGTTCTTCATAGAAAAAACAAGACTTGCTAATGTTTTAATATACACAATTTGAAGAAGTTATATTGTTTATAAGAAAGTGATATTTAAGCTAAGCATATAGTATTTACAAAACAAGTTTCAGTAAAAACAAAACAAAACATACCGAATTACAGTTTTGTAAATACAACTGATTTTGTCTTTGTGGAGAATTAGTGAATGTACAAATTCCGAATTTTGCTAGACTGCTTCCAGAAAGATAGGTAGACTTGGTGACTGTGAATTCAAGTCAGCAACATAGGTAGGAGGCTAACTTGGACTCTCCTGTGAGCAGCACTGTAGAAACAACATTTTAAGAGGGTAAAGTCTGCATAAAAGCATTTCTCTTGGCATGTGCAAACAAGAAGGGGGAAAGCTGTATTGAAGGAAGGGGTGAATTAAAGTCCCTAAAATTCAAGTCCCTTCTTTAGGGAGGTGAGAACCTCCTTGGCATATGCCCTGCCTTAATCTGAGCTGTGTAATAGAAAAGTACAGACTCTGGTGTTTGGGACTGCCATCTCCAAACCAAGAAAATTAAATAAATAAAAAAGGCAAAAGGAAACAGGTTAAGTTTAGAAAATGGTTTTTTAACTAGTGGAATAGAGTCTGAATACCAGAATTCACTGAGAATCTATTTACACCACAGTTTGATTGCACACACACACCCATACATATGCATACTCTCACACACATTCCCAATCTTTAATTTAAAAAACAAAAAAAGTCAAACAATCAGAGTGACTGTTCTTAAAATAATTTGTAAAATGCCTAGAGCTGGGCTAAATTTCAACCTTATAGCAGATCCTGAAGATAATTTTTGTAATTAATAATATTCCCATGCCTAGATGTGCCACTGTCAAAACTGAAAAAAAAAACCCCAAAAACAAAAACATTTAAGCATGTAACATTAAACACCAAAATTAGTTTAAGCATTCAGTAGCAAATGTTTTTCTTGTAAAACTAAGTTTCTTTCACTGGAAATGGCCTGAAATATTAGTCATAGCCCTAAACCATAGTACAAAATATAACTGAAGAATTCTCATTTTATTCTAAGTTAAACCACCCAACAATATCACTTGTATATTGCCATCATGTTATTCTGTAAAGGTGTGATATATAAAATGCTGTAAGACCCAGTACCTTTTCAATTTATAAACACAGTGAACTTCATTACTGTACATGTACTCTGCAACTACAGCTTAGCTGTAAATCCTCCACACACAATGGTATGGACATTATTCCCCCTCTATCCCCATTAAACTGTACATCGAGACAATACAAATTTACTGTCCCACCCACCCCCTTACAAAAAAATAATACTCTAAAAGCAACCCTACTGCAACTTTTTAATTAAGACGATTACATATATTTTAGACCAATTGCTTTAAAGCAAGAAGGCAGTATAAACCTTCTAGGAAAATTTTTATAAAAGAGGTTAAGAAATATAAGACAATTTATACATTTAAAAACTTACAATAAATAAGAGATGCAGGCATTTTTGAATACTAGATACTATAATCCAATACAAGAACATCTTGATGTTCTGAAGCCATATGTTGAAATTCATTGTTCCTCATGTTTCCTCTCCATGCTTTTAATATTCATTTAATATGACTGGGTACTATGGCTCATTACTTTTCACAAATACTGTGACTGGAAAAAAAAGGTTAATTTTGCTACGAAACTGTTATAATACGTTTTGTATGATCAGTCATCATCCTAAAGAGTTCAGTATAGTCAATGAAAAATAGCAGGGTTATAGCCCCCCCCCAAGTCAAAACAATATTTGTTGAAGTAATAAGAATTAGACCCCATCACAGATGACTTTCACTGAGAAGATAACTGTAACTTAATCTTGCAGCGAAATATCTTTTTTCCTTGTTCTTTTCTTGCACAGTTCCATCGAATGAAGATCACAGCATATTCATGATAAAGTTATATAACTGATTCAGCACCACAAAATGAATTGGGAGACATGAGCGTCTGTCCTGGATTGCAGGGTCACAGGTTAGCCAGGAGAGTGCATTGTACTGTTCCAAAACAAACCTGAAAAGTGTAAGTCATGTATTTACTTTCACTGTAGATTTTGGAAACAGTTCCCAATTATAGCATCTAAGATTCAAAGCTACTTTATTTTTTTTTTTTTTTAATTTTTAAAGATTTTATTTATTTATTTGACAGAGACACAGCGAGAGAGGGAACACAAGCAGGGGGAGTGGGAGAGGGAGAAGCAGGCTTCCCGCAGAGCAGGGAGCCCGATGTGGGGCTCGATCCCAGGACCCCGGGATCATGACCTGAGCCGAAGGCAGACGCTTAACGACTGAGCCACCGAGGCGCCCCTTTTTATTTTTTTGAAGACTTTACTTATTCATTTGACAGAGAGAGAGTGCATAAGGAAGGGGCGCCCCAGAGGGAGAGGGAGAAGCAGACTCCCTGCTGAGCAAGGAGCCCGATGCGGGGCTTGATCCCAGGACCCTGGGATCATGACGAGCCGAAGGCAGACACTTAACCGACTGAGCCACCCAGGTGCCCCTCAAAGCTACTTTAAAAAATGGTGGAAGGTATGGAATAGAGAGTCCTTGGGGAGATTAAAGATTAACTAATTTTCATAAAAAGAACTCTCAAAAGTAGATTACACATGCTAGAAAGAAAAGCACTCATTCTGAATGATGTACTTCATCTAGAGATCCAAGGGTACACAACTGTTAATTATTGCCAAATATGAGAGAAATATGTAAGAATCAACATTATATTCTTTCAAAGATGTAATGGAGAACCTTTAATGGGAAAAGGACTTATACCTGAGGACATCTGAAGTCTGATTTGAGTCAAGTGGGTGGGAGTGTTTACTGTGAAGCAGCTCGTCAGATTGCACTGAAGGCACGTGGAGGTGCAAAGAGGCCTAAAAAAACAGGAAATCAGTCAGCCAAATGGAAAAGTTGTTGGTTTTACCTTATTTTCCCAAGGTCTCGTCCTTGATGAAATACATTTTAGACCTATGTAATGAATGGGCACCACTATAAAGATGTTTGTTCTCCTTGTTTAACCAATTTATTACAGAATTTTTAAGTGCATAACTTATATTCAATCTTACTTTATTTTCGTCACCTCTATGCTTTTGAGACCACATAATAATCCTTAAAAAAGTTATTTAAAAGTTATTTTAAAAGCCATTTAAAGTCATCTATTTTCTGAGTGTAACACGCCTAGATGCGTAAATGTTTAAAGAAGCACTAAACTGATAAACCTGAAGTCTGTCTACAGGTTACATAGAACTTTATGCATATACACGGAAGTCTAGCACTGAAAAATGTTAAGAGGAGTAAGCATATGCAAATATACTGCTTACAAAGCTATAAATTTTAAACAAAGTTACCTATGGTGGAATTGTGAGCACTCTACTACAGTGCATAGTGCCTTCTTTGCCCATGCAATTTCATAATGGAGGCTTGGTGACAACTGTCACACCCATTTTGGTATGACAATGAAGAGTGGAAGAAAGGAATTTCAATTAAAGTGAATCATTTTTTGTTTATTGAGTCAATGTATGTAAAGTGTTAAAAAAAAAAACTATGAGAGATGGAGAAACTTTTAGCAGATCTCATTCTGTATACTGTAAAAGGTACTATTTTATATTTAGGTCATCTCTTCTCTACAACTGTAATATATATATATATATATAAACTCTTGTGTTATATATTCAAGAATATAACCAAAGATATGTATTTTTTTTAACTGCCCATAAACTCTTGATTTATAAGTTATAAGCAAAAGTCTCATATGGCATATCACTACAAATCAGATGAATATGGTCAGTACCAGAAATTACCATTTAATTTCTATGATAAAAAGATTTTTTAATCATCTAGGTAACAATCTATTATTTTCCCAAGTAAAGAGAAACACATCAGGTGGTTTTATTGCCTATGGTATAGGAAATAAAATGGAATGTATGAAAACAAATGGTGAACAAAATTATGGTAAATTATGCCTTACCTGGTAATTCAGACCAGAAGTCCTAATCTTGTTACACTGTATCTGAGGGTGAATGCCCACTTTACACTATCCTCTCTGCAAATAAATATTGAGTAGAAAAGAATCTGGATAGTCCCTTGGACTTTTTGTAAAGTGGTGTTTCCTAAAAAAATGTTCCGTGAAACACTAAGGTCATGAACTATTCATTGGTGTTACACAATCGCTTTCTGGTGTATTAAAGTAAGTTTGGGAAATAGTAGGTATACAGTGATATTTACTGCTGTTTTTCCAGAAACTTTAATGTGCATACATGTATTATAACAACAAAAGGGGGGCAGAAAGCATGTGCAACATTTCCCAAAGGACAAAAGAACCCTTTCTTTTGAAGAAACACCAACGACTACTATTTTGCAGAAACACACTGGGAATATGTTCTTGTAATGAAATCTGTACAGACCACTGTACATATATTGGAAGGGGAAGAAAAGTCCTATGATAAAACTTCATTACCTTGACTGACACTCCCTAAATATATTATTGCATCAATAGTCAATTCAGATCAACAGTTGTTGTATTCTTTATGAATGTGCTACTGAAGTTCAATGCTTAGTCTCAAATGTCACTGACTCAATGGTATGTGGGCCAAGGGTATCAAGATTTAATAGCAACAGGCTTAAGAGAGGACAAGCCTATTGGTTCAGGTACCCACTAAACTATAACCCCCCAAAACTAAAGCATAGTATCCAACTTTTATCCTACATGTAAAAAACAATTGGCAAGAAGTGAGGTTAGCATGACTTCTGGAATAAAACAGTCAACTTCTGGTGCGTGTATGTAAGAATAAGTGAATCAGATCTGAATTTCCTATTTTGGAATAGTAGTAAGCAACAGCAGTAACAAACTCTGGATAGGGCTTTCACATCTCATTGTACCATTTTATAATGTATCTCAACCTCGTTATGTCACTTGCTAATGAACTTGTTTGGATAAATAAGTCACTATGGGTCTGAGAATCTTAGCACTTGAAAACCACTTAATAGTCTAACAGCAATTTACATAAAGCTAGAAAAAAATTTTTAAGGAGGTAGTAAATGGACCTAAATATCAAATATTCTTACAAAATTATGAATCCTTTAATCCCCAAAATATTATGGCATAATAGCAGTATGATGTAATTCAAAGAATAACAGTATAATCATGAAAGGATCCCGACTGTAGTCCTGGGTCTACTACCAATTTATGACTTTGGACAAATGAGTTTTTCTGAACTTTAATATGCTCACCTAGAAAATGAAGAGGTTAGATTAAAAGTAATATAAGGTTCACCCAGATTTAAACTTCCATATGTGCAGCTGCAAATAAGAGCAAGGGTCCCAGAAATATGACTTAAGATTAATTAAAAGTTCAAACTTAGTTTCAATTTTTAAAAAGTAGAGCTATTTCATAATTAGATAACTTCCTTGTGATCTTGTCATATTTCAGAATGCATTTAATAAGACCTTAGACACTTCTATTTCTTAGGAATTAAGCCATCAATTAGCATTATTTAGGAACCGGCACAGAAATGGAAATACCTTAAGAAAAAGGGGACACTGATATTGTGCTTGAGGACATGCTGACCAGAACCAGTCAGGTAACGGACCCGCTTTGGCAGTTGATACAAAGTAACCAAGGGCCAATGGTTGCTGAAGAATATTAGTTACTTCATCATGAGATTCTGTTGAAAGTAGTCGATCAGTACCCTGACCCTTAAATAGAGAAAATTAAAAGTGTGTTAGTTCATTTGATATACCTTGGCACTAGATATACAGAATGGTTTATGGCAATCAGTCTATCTTACGACACCAATTTAAAAAAATACTAAAGGATATTGAAAAAAATCAATTGCTATGTACTTAGTAAGAAGATCATAATTAGTAACAATATTAAAAGAATGAGTTTTAAGAGTTATATGAGGAATTAATATACCAACTGTTTAACAAGTTTGTATTATTATGCCGAGCCCATGTTCAATGAATGTGTGTATTAACCTTTCCAGCCAATTGAAAAATACAAAATGTTCAATGAAATTTCTAACTTACTTCCTAATACTCCCTCAAAACTAATTCCTGACCACCACATCTCAATCCAAAAGGTAAATTAAATTTAGCTTTGTTCATCTAACACTATAAAATGCAGTTATTAGTTTTTTGGAAAGCATTATGGCAATAGGAAGGGACAACTATTAAGTGATGCTCATATCCTTCAGATTAGTCCATGTATTTCTTGGTATTTATGTTAATAGATAAAAAGAAGAAAAATGATTATGCATGGAAATGTTCATTGCAACATTGTCTATAACAGAAAAAAATAAAATACTTAAATGTACAACATTCTGGGAATGATATAACAAATTACGGGACAACAACAACGTTAAAAGGTGATTATACTTATTTATATATGTATTGAAAGCTGCAATATAAATACATGTGAAAGAAAGGTAATCCGCTAAAAGTAAAAACGATTTTATTAAAGTGGTGAGATTACTGGTGCTTTTCTATATACATATATATTTTTTCAATAATCTCACTTTTTCAAGGTTTTTATTTTTATGTAATCTCTACACCCAATGTGGGGCTCGACTTAAAACCCCGAAATCAAGAGTTGCATACTTTACTAACTGAGCCAGTCAGGCACCCTAATAATCTCACTTCTTTCCAGTTTAAAAAAAAAGGAAAGATGTAAGGTAAAACTGGAGGAAGATCCTTATTTTATTCTTAAGATTTTATCTATTTACTTGTCAGAGAGAGAGCGAGCGCGCAGAAGCAGGGAGAGCAGCAGGAAGAGGGAGAAGCAGGCTCCCTGCTGAACAAGGAGATGGATGCATGACTTGATCCCAGGACTCTGGGATCACGACCTGAGGCAAAGGCAGGCGCTTAACTGAGCCACCCAGGTGTCCCGAAAGATCCTTATTTTATTATTTTTTTAAAAGATTTTATTTATTTGACAGAGAGAGACAAAGCGAGAGAGGGAACACAAGCAGGGGGAGTGGGAGAGGGAGAAGCAGGCTTCCCATGGAGCAGGGAGCCCAATGTGGGGCTCGATCCCAGGACCCTGGGATCCCTGGGATCATGACCTGAGCCGAGGGCAGACGCTTAACCGACTGAGCTACCCAGGTGCCCCAAGATCCTTATTTTAAAAGGGCAGATTCTAAACATATGCATACTGTAACAATCAAATAACCACTATATATAATTTCACTCAAATAAAGATGTTATTCAAATGAAGCCCAATTAGTTTTGAGTTCAAATAAAAGGACAAGACAGGCTGCTTCCCAAATGCTAAAAATTAAGACAGAGAGAAGCCCTGATTGAATGGCATCTCTTAGGGCATATACTAATTCTCAGATAATCAGATCCTATACCTGATTAGAAGCAATGGTAAAGAGGCAGGAAAACTACAAAAGAAGGACTAAAGCCAAGTAGTCTAGAAAAACATGAAGTCAGGGACAGCAGACCCTTAGAGATTCTCTTTATAATTCACAATTCAAAGTAGTAACATCTGTAAGACAGAGTGCAAGAATGTACTATTAATCTCACTTCTTGTTAATTTCTCAGGAAAAAATAACGTTTTATTTCATATATCAATCCATTAATAAGTTAATGAATGACATTTAGATTAAGCTTTTATAACACGGTTACCTTGCCAGCATCACCTCCATGGGGGTAATGAGATCCTGGAGAATGTACAGGAGACCCCGTTGGAGATGCAGGAAGAATATTAATGATATCAGGGTCAAGATCATCCCCTGTGTCTAATAAATCAAAGATACCCATTCCATCTGCTCCATCTACACAGAAGAAAGAAAAATAAATAAATCCTCCATTTTTCACATCCCGCGGTCATTTTTAGGGGAGGGTTAAAATAAATTAATGAATTTTAACCAAAATGGGTTAATTTAATTAACATCTATTGAATGTCTACCATGTGCCAAGTATTGTTTTAGGAGCCATATAAACAATTATACATTATAAACAAGCATGTGGTAGTGTGAATAATGCCCTCCCCCAAGATGTCCACATCCTAATCCCAGGAATGTGTGAATATGTTACCATAAAGAACTTTGCAGATGTGATCAAGCTAAGGATCTTGAGATGGGGAGATTATTCTGGATTATCCAGGTGGGTCCAATGTAATCACAGGGGTCCTAATAAGAGGGAGGCAGTAGGGTTAGAGTCAGTGATGGAGATGTGATGATGCTACACTGCTGCTGCTGAAAATGGAAGAAGGGGCCATGAGCAAGAGGTGCAGGTGAGCTCTAGAGGCTGGCAAAGGCAAAGGAACAGATTCTCCCTTAGAGCTTCCAGAAAGAACCAACCCTGCAGACACACTGACTTCAGCCCAGTTAAGACTGATTTTAAGCTTTTGATCTCCAGAACTGTAAGATAATAAACATGTGTTGTTTAAAGCTACTAAGCATGTGTCAATTTGCTACAGCAGCAACAGAAAACTAATACAAAACAAACACAGTATGCTGGAAATGAAAATGTATTTAAAATGGACTATGCACAATACTCTAATTCTTTATTAGTATATAAAATACATTCAAGTTATTGTATAACGCACTGAAAGAAGAAAATAATAAATACTCCTTACTTGTGATTTTGTTTCTTTTTCTTTCTTTCTTTTTTTTTTTTTTAAGATTTACTTATTTGGGGGTGGGGAGCAGCAGAGGGATAGAAACTCAAGCAGACTCCATGCTGAGCAAAGAGCCTGACACGGGGCTTGATCCCAAGACCCTGAGATCATGACCTGAGCCGAAATCAAGATGCTCAAACGACTGAGGCACCCAGGCGCCCCTTACTTGTGACTTTAGAGATGTGCCATTTTCTAAGGTACCTCAGAGCAACAATGGAATATCATTTATTTTCTCTTCTACTAAAATGTAATCTGTAAGTTTATCTACAAGAGTTATTCCCTACTATGGCAGTTTATGTAAATTATTTTGGCAAATCAACTTAGAAAGGAATATAAAATGTGCTGCAAAGTCTATGGTCTATGTACAGGTAGCGAGCAGCACAGACAAAAACCTGTGCATTTCATGATCAATGTTGCCTTTTAAAAGAAGTAAATATTTATGAGATAATTCACAGCACTAGTTCCAATATCAGTAAAGTAGAAGAATGGTTTTATTAGTATCCTATTGCATTTTTAACCAATTACCACAAACTTGTTGACTCAAAACAACACGCCTTCATTCTCTTACAGTTCTGGGGTCCAAAAGTCCAAAATCAGTTTTACTGGGCTGAAATCAAAGTACTGGTCATTAGGTCAAAATCAGGAACCAGGAGGCCTATGCTCTTTCTGGAGGCTCCAGGGGAAATCCGTTTTCTTCTCTTTTCCAGCATCTAGAACTACATTCCTTGCGTTCCTTGGCTCATGGCCCCTTCCTCCATCTTCAAAGTCAGCAGCACAGGATTATTTCTCTGACTTTCCTTCCCTCCATTTCCATCACATGACCTTCTCCTCTTTTGGGCATGATCAAATTTCCCTTTGCTTCCCTCTTATAAGGATACACGTGATTGCATTTAGTGCCCACCTGCATAACCCAGGATAACCTCTCCATCTCAAGATCTTTAACTTAATCACATATGCAAAGTCTTTTTTGGTGGTTATAAGGTTAACACTGATAGGTTTCAGAAACATTTACCGGACAAGGATAGGTTTGGGGAGGCATTCTTCAGCCTAAAATCAGCCACAATCATCCAAGACTTACTTTATATTTGCAAACCTGTAAAGAACAATTCACCTACCATTGTTGGGATTAAAGGCTAAGTCCAAATTTTCAGTGGTATAAGTAGCTGAAGCTACTTGCACAGAAGCCGAAGTAGGGAACACGAGTATATGAGTACATGATGTATCCTGTGGGGTATTTAGCATCTGAGATGTCTGCATATTTAGAGTGGTGCTTCTTCCAAACACAGAACCAGTTGACACAGAATCTGGAAATAAAGAGAATTTATTTTTTCTTTCAATAAAAGAAGAATCAATTTTACATAATACTAGAAACACAAGCACATGAAAAATTAAATCTGATTAAACTAAGGATAGCTAACCTGGCATAATAACAAAAGAGCCTTGGGGTTCCATTGCTACCAAGCAAGCACTGAGAATGCTGGGAGAGTCTGCAGCAGATATACCACACATTCTACACATGTCTTTGAGCCTTTTACTTAGAGACTGCAAGTTTCGACGACTCAGCAAACTGCTCCAATCTGTGGATATCAAGAGTAAAAAAAGAAAAAAAAAAATCCAAAGTAACAGCATTGTTAACGCCCTCTAGAACCAAAGTTAAAACATAATGGTTTTAAAACTAGTGAATTCCTCCAATAGGAGTCATCATCAAGCCAAAAATATTGCTGATGTTACTCAACATCCTTTATCTACCTAACTTTAATGTATGTCAACATCAATTAGTATTTGCTAAACAGGGGATGAGCTGAATAATAAGCAGAAAGAGGAAAAAATAGACAATAAATAAGAATAGTAGCAATAACACTGGTGGTATAGTCAAAATATAAAATGTCCTTTTAAAATTGGAATTAGGCCATCTGTGACCTAGACATATGTGATTCCTCTTTGAAAACAAAACAAAAAACTAGTTTTTATAACCTCTGCATTTTATTCAGAACATATACCCATATGTGGCCTAACAGTGTATTAATTAACATAAAACAGAAGTTGAAGTACTTAACAATCAAAGCACAATTTTACCTTTCAATTCTCCATGACCAATCCTTCCTAAGCGGCCAATTACAACTCTCCACGGTAATGAACTCATTTGTACAAGTCCTAAGCACCACTCCCAAAGTTTCTGTAGACCAAACCTTCTAGCAGATCCTTTTTTCCGACGAGCCCTGTTGTACAGAATAAAGAGACAATTAAATATTCCTAAAAATCATATGAGAACATTTTAAAAGAGCTCAAATCTGTGAAAAACTAGTCCCTCAATTTTAATGCCTGATACTTTTTATGTAAGTCATAAGCAAGAATATACATAAGACCATAGTGTTTAGCATGCTACTTTATGTTTTTCATAATACACATTAAAATAGGTTCTTAAGGGGCGCCTGGGTGGCTCAGTCGTTAAGCATCTGCCTTCGGCTCAGGTCATGATCCCAGCGTCATGGGATCGAGCCCCGCATCGGGCTCCCTGCTCAGCGGGAAGCCTGCTTCTCCCTCTCCCCCTGCTTGTGTTCCCTCTCTCGCGGTCTCTCTGTCAGATAAATAAATAAAACCTTTAAAAAAAAAAATAGGTTCTTAAAATAAAAATTGTCCATGAACCACCAAAATTCATCAGAAACACTGTTCTACACCAGAGATTGGCAAACTTTTTCTTTAAAGGGCCAATATATTAAGCTTTGCAGGCCATCAAGATTCTGTTGCAACAATAACTCTGCTGCTACAGCATGAAAGCAGCCACAGATAATACTTAAACAAATGCATGTAGCCAGATTTGGCGCATGGGCTGTGGTGTGCCAACCCTTGCTCTATACTTTAGGTTGAAGAATATTAAACAAAAGACTACACTTCTCAGACCAAACAACACTGTTGTGTTTTCTGCACGCATGTCCTTTATCAGGCAAGTACATGACATGAGCACTCTGTGGCTGAGCCATGGCAGCTATGATTTACTGAGTACTTAATACATAGCAAGCATTATGCCCAGTCAATTTACATGTAATACTTCATTTCAGCCTAACAAACCCTAGGAGGGAGATAAAATTATTCTCCCAGTTTTATTTATTTTATTATTTTATTTATTTATTCTCCCAGTATTCTCCCAGTGGAAGCTCAGCTAGCTAAAGCAATTTCCTCAAGATCATATACCCAGTATGTAGGAGAGTTGGGATTTGAACCCACGTCACCATGACTCTGGGGTTGGACCTTTATACCATTATCTCACTTCTACTTTCAGTAAAATGGCAATACTATCTTCATATTGGAAAGGTGGTATTATTCTTTCTCTATTCTTTCTCATCCTTCACAGATAAGCACACTATTTCCAAAACTCACTTAATGAGCATTTTAAAAAATCAAAATTGTGTCAAGGAAATAAGGTATGAAGTATTTCTCTAAGGTTTATAAAAAATGGTCAATAAATCTTTATAACCAATAATATAAAATTAATGTTTCTATATTCCACTTCTTCAGCACCACTATAACCCAATATTCATTAAACATTTCTGCACATAATCAATTTCTGAACTTAAACTGATCTTTATATAATAAAAAAAATAAAGGATACAACCAAACCTCAAAATTGAACATTACTTCATCAACCTGCCTTTCAGGTTCTCTTATGCCATGTTCACTAGCCTTGAAACATGTTACTAGAAATATCTATTAGGTTATAACTTAATATGAGGCTTACCTGTTGTGATCTATTAGTTACAGCCTTGATAAATAACTGAGCATGATATCTAATTACTACCAAGAAGAATTCTAAAAATTTTCAGAAGACATTCCAACACTTAAAAGGAAAATTTTCAGTCAACAATTTTAGTAAAGGAAGTTAACTCAGTTAATTAGGGACTATATTTTAGATGGTACCTGAGAGAAGTAAATGCTATAGGATGCTCTTTTTTAATTGCAGAGGGCTCTCTTGTTCCATTCTTTAAAATTTCTTAGGCTGAAATCATTGCCTCAAGCTTTATTACATAGAATTTAGGGACTTTAATCTCTTTTGTCGGTGTGACAAAGATCACTCAAAATTATTTCTAATTATACAATATATTCACTACCCAAAAAAGTGAAAAGCACGCACAATCCCAAAACTTAATGTACATGACCTTCCAAACAGTTTTCTATTCATTAAAAATGAAAGAGTGTGTGTGTGTGTGTGTGTGAGAGAGAGAGAGAGAGAGAATTTTTTAAAATGGATGATATAATGATACACTTAAAGAAACAGAGGTACCTATTTGGGACATCGATGTTAATGATACAAGTCTCTAAAAGTTCTCCATACAGATCTGTGCAAGATGCAAGAATCCATCTTTGATCATGTGATAAACAGTAGCCCACGAAAAGAACATTATATTTCTGTCCAGCTTCTCCAAATGTTTCTCCTAGCTCTGTCTGTTTATCCTTCACTGGAGCCAGAATAAAAGGTGGTGTATAAAGTCGAATACACTCTGGTCTCTGTAAAATAAAAAATAAAGGTACTATAGTACTAGCCAATTACAGAAAAATCTTTTATTGAAAATGTGATATATTATCAATACCCAATTATAAGATAATCAGAAAATGAGAACTAAACAAAGAACTGCACTTAGTTTTGTATAAAATCATAAAATGTACAGTTATTCAATAACTTTGGTCAGGGAAAACATACTTACATCAGGACTTTTAAGAGCAGTTTCCATGGCTAAGCCTGGACCAAAGCCAGTCAATGTTTTCACGTTGGTTGATGTTGGAAGTGGTCTCCGACACTGGGTAAAGGCCGAAAAAGCCAGGGATTTTAAATGCTGGGTATAGATTTGTCTATCTTCGTGTTTCACAGGTTGCAACAGGTACTGACAAGGAACAATCTAAGAATTATAGGCAAATATTACAAAGGTTAAACTTCCAAAACTAAAAATAAAAAGAACTGTGGGTCTAGAACTCTAAAGACATTTACTAGAAAATTTAAACAAAACCTAATTAAAACTATGTTCTAAAGAATTCTATTTTAGGGGTGCCTGGCTGGCTCAGTCGTTGGGCGTCTGCCTTCGGCTCAGGTCATGATCCCAGGGTCCCGGGATCGAGCCCCGCATCAGGCTCCCTGATCGGCGGGAAGTCTGCTTCTCCCTCTCCCACTCCCCCTGCTTGTGTTCCTGCTGTCGCTCGCTCTCTGTCAAATAAATAAATAAAATTTTTTAAAAAAAAGAAAAGAAAGAATTATATTTTATTATACAGGTTTTTAATAATCAGTTTTACTAACAGGTTATGTAAAAACCTTTTAAAATTTCTACACAGCAGTTAATCAATACTGCCACTGATTAGTCCTACTATAGTCTATAAAGAAATAATTCAATCTCTGCAAACAAGTTAATATTAAATTAATTTTTAATTTTTTAAAAGTTATTTATTTTGAGAGAGCGAGAGAGTACGCGTGCGAGGTGGGGGGGGAGGCAGAGGGAGAGAGAGAATCCTCAAGCAGATTTCCCGCTGAGCACGGAGTCTGACAAGGAGCTCAATCATAGGACCCTGAGATCATAACCTGAGCCAAAATCAAGAGTAAGACACTTAACCAACTGAGCTACCCAGCAGCCCACCCCTTTAAAATGTAGGCTCCAGGCCCAGTGTGGAGCTCAATGTAGGGCTTGAACTCATGACCCTGAGATCAAGACATGAGCTAGTAAGATCAAAAGTCAGAAGCTTAACCAACTGAGCCACACTGGCACCCCTAATATCATTAATTTCTACTTTTACTTGCAATCTATCTTATTTAGAACTCTAGTTTATATAGATCCATGCTCTGGTCTTCTATTTAAGCTTATGAATTTAAAAACTGGTTTATAAAAATAACACAAGAGAAATATTTAATGTACTTAAATGCAACCTTTTTATTCTCATTATTGTGGTATGACTGTAAAGTTTATCTTTTATAAAATACCTAAGGATTCTATTATAATATCACTTAAAGTAAAATATAATAGAACCTGGCTTTAACTTCTGTCTACATCAAACTGTTTAACTTGCAAAAATTACTCTTACCTGTACAGAAACAGTACTCTTAATATGAGGAGGAAGAGTCTGCACCATTTCCAGAAAGCATCGAAGTAGCCCCAAAGTCCATACATTAGAAGAATTAGTGCTCTCATCTTTATTTTCATAGGTAAAAGGGTCAATTATATAAACAACAATTGCAGGTGGATAAGTGATTGCATGTGAATCACCATCTGTGGGGATACCCACTTTATCCCGATCCATCGTGCTAAAATTTAAGGTAGAAATATAGAGTTAGGAAAAAAGTTGTACCATACTTTTTGAGGTAGTATCAAAAAGCAGGTTCTTAATAACCTCTCCCCTTCTTCTGGTGGGGGGTGTCGGAGAGCTTCTCTAAAAATTAAGGGACATCTCTTTCTCTCCAAATAGAATAGTAAACACTGTGCACACAATTTTATGGTATACAAATACCCTTATGTTAAGAGGGCTTGCATTAAAAAAGGGAATAGAATTTTTAAAACCACAGAATATCCAAAAACACTAGAGAGCTTAATGCTTAAGTGATAAAACTGAGACAAAAGATAGTTAACTGAGCTGCTAAAGATGACAAAGCAGAGCCAGACCAGAAAGAAACCAGGTTTTCAGACTTAGTCAATGTTCTACTACATTAATAGCCTTTACATATTCATTTCACACTTTGTAACTTTAATAGTGCACAAGCTTCATTCTTCGATGGTGATATGATTTTTTTAAAACTCCAAATCTATTTAGATGTTCAAGATGAATGCATCAATCTGGGTAAATTAATAGTTTGTTTTTACTCACATAGATAAGTTTAACTTTGAGCAAAGTGCATCTGGGTAACTGAAAGATATTACTAAGTACTAAGCTCATGTTAACCTAACCTGTAAGTCAAAAGGGAAGCTCACTCAATACCTTCATCATAAAAGGAATAGAGAACTGCAATCATCATTGTTGTCATAAATAACTCACGTGTTTGGAAGCATTGTATAAAGCACTTAATGTACATTATATCCTACTGCTCCCATTTTACAGATAACATGCTCAGAGAAGTCAGACAACTTTCCTAAAGTCACATAGCCAGTAAATGGCAAAGCTGAGATTCAAATCTCTGTATGGCTCTTAATAAGCTCTGAACAGACTGGTTCAGTAGTGACTTCTAAATCATTGTAGTGATTTGCAAAGGCTAATCTACTTAACAGTTATGTCACAGAAGAGATTCAAACATCACAGCATAGTTGAACTAAATGGTTTTAAAGGTCTTAATTCCCATGATGAGATTTTAGGATTCCATGCTAAAGTTTAGGATTCCATGCTAAAGGATTCCATGCTAAAATTCCATGCATTATAATTTTAAAGATAAAATAATCAACATTACAAAAACTAAAATTTCAAGGGTGAGATCAAAAAACTCTCCATGTTCATTCACAAGGACTATCTTAGACAGAAAGCAGCATAATATATTTACATTTCTGCAAAGAATAGTAAAGGTACCTTTCAGACACATCAGGATGAGGCTGAGTGGGAAGTGAAGATGATTCTCCAGAAATCCCTGCTGTTTGTAGAGCTGATGACTGTTGCCCTCCTAGCTGGCCGTTCTGAACTGTACTTGCTTGTGTAGACATGGATCCTGTGGCACTACTGTTCATACTGCCAAAGGGTGGAAATGAGGGCAGTTTATTTGATGATACTCCACTATTCAAGTTGGAGGATGATGAAGATGAAGTTGAAGTTGTGGTCAAAGTTGAATTAGCTGTGGCAACTGAAGAAGACATGGTAACACCTGAAGTCATTGTCATAGTGCTGCTTGCTGCAGATGCTAGGGTGGCAGATGGAGTATTAGCATTTCCAGTACTTGTCATCTGAGCTGGAGTAATCAAAGATTGACTTGTAGGGGCAACTAAATTTGGCTGGGAAAGTAGAGAGCTGTCCAAAGGCTGGGAAGCAAGATAAGGACCTAAAGGTAATAAAAACAGGCAGGATATTTAATTCTTTACTTCACTGATTGGTTCTTTTTTTATTCTACTATGTGAATAATAATCTAGTTGATGCTTTTTGGTAATTACCCTCCCTTAGCTGCATGCTAATAATGTAGGAGATAAAGCTTTTTCTTTTGCCCAGAAACTGAAGAAACAAATTTTAAATGTAACTGAAAAAGTAAACAGCATTTTCATACAAAATAAATGGTTCCCATGCAAGTTAACAAAATTGTATTTACTAGATATAATTAATTGAATGAAAACAATATCTAGCAAATTTTCATCAAACCATTCAAAGGGTTCCTAAATCACAAGTTGAATAAACACTGACTAAACTGAGAGCTAACTAGATATAAAATAAAAAATGTTATCATAGGGTTCATACTATAGAGATGCCTAATGAGGGTCAATATTTTGGTTCTGTGTTTCCTTGGATTAAGTCTAAAGTCCATTGATATTTAATCCAATGTTAATTCAAGAGTGTTAAAAGCAAGTCTTAAATAGTTATTTTCTTAGTTCCAACAAAGAACTGTTTTCTTGGTGTTGTAGAGGTAACTACAAGTTATTTTATCTCTAAACCATTAACAAATCAAGAATCTTAATGTTAGTAAGCGTAAATAAAAACACAAATTCATCAGATCCTACAGAAGCAAAGGAAATTGTTTATACCCACAATTTCTTCTTACCTGACAGGATCCCTATTTTAGGGATCAGCAAACTTTTTCTCTAAAGGGTCAGACAGTAAATATTTTGGGTTTTGTGGGTCACACAGTCTCTGTCTCAACTATTCAGCTCGGATCTTGTAGCACAAAAGCAGCCACAGACAATATGTAAACAGATGAGCAGAGCTGGGTTCCAATAAAATTTTATTTGCAAAAACAGCAGATACATTGGGCCATACTTTGCAACCACTGGTTTTATAAAATAAATACAAATTTAATACCTAGGTCATATCTGCAGACTTGTGCATAAAGCTTGAGTTTAGAAAATGCTTCATTGTTACCATCAGCTGCCTGAGAAAACCATTCTGCTACCAACTTTTCTGATAGTTTCTTTGATGCAGTAGATCCAACTCTCATGATCCCATCCGTCAACAGTCGAGAAATAGGTCTATGCTGACCTAATCGACAGGACTACAGATATACATAAAGCAGAATTAGTGAATTTATTATAGTATGAGTCCACACTATAAAATAAAACATTTAAGTTATTTATTTTTTTAGAAGATATATTTCTAAGTAATCTCTACACCCAACATGTGACTCGAACTCACAACCCTGAGATCAAGAGCTCCATGGCAACTGAGCCAGCCAGGTGCCCCAAGCATTTAAGTTATTTAAATTAAGCTTTACAATTTATAATTAATATTTGGGATAAAAATATCAAGTGAAATAGTACATCTTTTTCTTTTTTACATTAGAAATCCATTAAGTTTTTTTTTTTAAATTAAACTCCAATGAAATAAAACACCTGGATAATAATGGCATAAGAACCATGTGGTTTGAATAATGAAAACTTGTAGTATACAGATATAAGTAAGCATAAAAATGCATATATATCCAAGTCAAATAAAAATAAAAATTGGTATATAAATATACCATGTATTTGTCAGCTCTCCCTCCAATTCTGTGGGCCACTGATGTTTGTTACAAGAAGTCCAATATCAAATAAGTATGTAATACTAAATTAAGAAAATCTAGAGGATTTTTTTTTTTTCAGTAGGCTCCACACCCAATGTGGGGCTTGACCTTACAACCCTGAGATCAAGAGTCACACTTCCACCAAATGAACCAGCTAGGCACCCCTAGACAGAGGATTTCTTTAGTGTTAAGACTTTAAAAAGCTTGAAAAAAAAAAACACCCCAAAACCCCAAAAACCCAACTTTCAAAAGCTTTAATAATCTAATATGAATAGTGAATCTTTTTTTTTTTTTTAAAGATTTTATTTATTTATTTGACAGAGAGAGACACAGCGAGAGAGGGAGCACAAGCAGGGGGAGTGGGAGAGGGAGAAGCAGGCTTCCCGCCGAGCAGGGAGCCCGATGCGGGGCTCAATCCCAGGACCCTGGGATCATGACCTGAGCCGAAGGCAGACGCTTAACGACTGAGCCACCCAGGCGCCCCTGAATAGTGAATCTCTTAAAAAGTAAAATAATATATAATGTTTCCCCAAACCTGTTTAATTATGGAACTTTTTTCTGGAAAGATTTTGCAGAACTAGTGTTCCAAGTAACACTCTTTGGGAAATATTTATTTCCCAAATCTATAGGACAGATACCTTGTAATTAAGTGGAACATTTAAAAGGAGCTAAGTCAGCACAAACTGACAACTCAGACTGTAGAAAAAAATTAAATTTTATTTATTTATTTTTTAAAGATTTTATTTATTTATTTGAGACAGAGAGAATGAGAGACAGAGAGCATGAGAGGGAGGAGGGTCAGAGGGAGAAGCAGACTCCCTGCCGAGCAGGGAGCCCGATGCGGGACTCGATCCCGGGACTCCAGGATCATGACCTGAGCCGAAGGCAGTACCTTAACCAACTGAGCCACCCAGGCGCCCAAGAAATTAAATTTTAAAGACTGGATTTCTAAGCATTTATGGGGAAAGGAAAGTATAATGAAGTTAAGACTTTATGTCCTGTAGCACTTAAAATTTGTAATCACTGCACTCAGTGAGGGATACAACATGAGAATTATAATATCAGTTAAGAATTTAAAAGATCAGTCAAGAATTTCAGAAATGATAAGATCATAGAGAAATCTAACACAACTTTACTTTACGAAAGTGAGGCCTAGTGTCAGCACCTGAGGTCTAGAATCAGGACTAGAATTTTTACAAATGTAATTTTTTTCCTGGTTATTTAATAATGCAACCCTTTATTTAAAAAAAAAGATGACCTTAAATGGCATATATATGTCTTCAATGGTTTTTCCCCAATACAGTGATTTCACTGTGACCCACGGCACACACATCGAACAACAGTCCAGGTCAAATGCTGTAAAGAACATAACTGGCTAGCATGAGAACTATACAACTAGTTTCCCATCATTATTACTCTGTCCCAATCAAATGAACTGCCCAGTATATTTCATATATAAATATACAAATTATAGTTTTAAAATGCCACCTCTTTATTTTTTTTAAAGATCTTTATTTAAGAGAGTGTGAGAGAGCGCGCACGCGCGCAGGAGTCAGGAAGAGGAGCAGAGGAAGAGGGAGAAGCTGACTTCCCCACCACCCGCCCCGCCACCGAATGCTACCTCTTTTCAAACACCTACCTCATATATCGCAGTGAGGTCTCTAAAAAAGCTTTTGGCTCCATTTAACAAGGCTTCATTTTCTGGACATAATACAACATAGGCTATATCTCTTTGAGATCCATAGGGTTCCAGCATAAGTCTCTCCCAATAAGGGAGCGCAAATGGAGAAAGCACCAGAAAATCATAATCATAACCCAACAAAAACGTAGGGATTGGCAGTGGTTCTGGGGATTCATCAGTTCCTAAATAGGAAAAAACATATTTTAAGAAAATATTAAGAAAAAAAAAAGTAAATATTTTAAAGCAGTTACATGTCTTCCTTTTATTTAAATGTCAAAGTTACTGAAGTCATTAGCAAAAATATTTGATTAAAGATAAAAATATCTAAAGGCCGGGACGCCTGGGTGGCTCAGTCATTAAGCGTCTGCCTTCGGCTCCGGTCATGATCTCAGCGTCCTGGGATTGAGCCCCGCATCGGGTTCCCTGCTCGGCGGGAGGCCTGCTTCTCCCTCTCCCACTCCCCCTGCTTATGTTCCCTATCTTGCTGTGTCTCTGTCAAATAAACAAATAAAATCTTTAAAAAAATATATATATATATATATATCTAAAGGCCAATCAATGATTGAGACTTTTCCAGAGTTAGGAATTTGCTAAATGGTCTTTAGGAAACATGACTTATACTAATTTAATTGTTTAATTATTTAATTATTAAAATTGTTTTAATTGTTAAAAAAATTAATTCAAATGAAAAAACTTAGAAGTACAAAAGAAAACATGGGAGGGGAGTTTTATTTTATTTTTTATAAATTTGGACTGGGGAAAGCCTTTCTAACCATAACATAAAACCTGTCCATTTAAAAGCTGATCAATCTGACTATATAAATTTTAAAATTTGGCATAAAAAACATTATAAAAAAGCCAAATGATTAACAACAAAATGGAAAAAGATTTGTAATTCAGATGACAAAAGGTTAAATTCCTTACCATATAAAGGGGACTTAAAAATCCCTAAGAAAATGATCAACAACCTAACAGAAAAATGGGTAAAGTGTATGAACTAAGTTCACAGAAAAGGAAATATCTTATACATAAAAAGCTGCTCAATCTCATTAAGAGAAAGCAATTTAAAATAATTATTGTTGAAAAACTAACATTTGCTATGTGCTAGGTACTGTTCAAGGATCTTTACACATACTAACTTTACACATATTAACTCATTTAATCCTCACAAAACCATGTAAGGCAGATACTAATATTAACCTCATTTTAGAGATGAGAAAGCAGGAATGAAGAAGTTAAGCAACGTGTCTGGAATCACACAAGAAGTGGTAGACATAGGATTAGAGGCCAGGTAATCTACTCTTACAGTCTGTACTATGCCATTTCTCAAGCTATAATAAAACAACCATTTTCACCCATCTACTTCAGCAAGGGTTTGCGGAAACAGGCATTTTGCTGGTGGGAGTTTAAACTGATACTCAGAGAGTAATTTGGCAACAATAAAAACAACAACAACAAAACACACATCCTTTAAGCCAGAGGAGATGTGTGCATTATAGAAAAACAGTTGTGATGACAATGAGAGAAACAATATGTATGTCCATAAACAGTGGATTGGTAAAATATTATCATATGTAAAGAACATGAAATACATGAACCCATTAAAACTAAAGAAAGACAGCTCTAAGGGCGCCTGGGTGGCTCAGCTGGTTAAGCGACTGCCTTCGGCTCAGGTCATGATCCTGGAGTCCTGGGATCGAGTCCCGCATCGGGCTCCCTGCTCAGCAGGGAGTCTGCTTCTCCCTCTGACCCTCCTCCCTCTCATGCTCTCTGTCTCTCATTCTCTCTCTCACAAATAAATAAAATCTTAAAAAAAAAAAAAAAAAAGAAAGAAAGACAGCTCTATATGTCCTGGTCAGTAAGGTGCAGAACTGTATGTGTGTGTACACACACACTCTATTTGGTTTTTAAAAGAATGTAAAAATATAATTAACCTGCATTTTTCACTAAATGTCAAGTTTTTAATGATTATTTAGCCATTAATAAAAGGAAAAGGAAAATTATGAGCAAATCTACTACTTCTGTACATAATGCAGTCTAAAACCATGCATGAAAGTCAAAGATTTCAATGTTAAAAACTATTATTCCAAATATGTATGTATATACTTTTTAATATTTTATTTGAGAGAGAGGGAGAGTGAGAGAGGGAGCACAAGCAAGGGGTGAGGCAGAGGGAGAGAAGCAGACTGTCCTGCTAAGCAGGGAGCCCAATTACGGGACTCGATCCCAGGACCCCAGAATCATGACCTGAGCTGAAGGCGGATGCTTAACCGACTGAGCCACCCAGGCACCCCCCAAATATATTTTAAAAGCTCCCACCTTTCAGAGACAATCTTCAACAGATAGTTCAAGTATTTTGAATGTTCTTTGCCTTGATAGATGACCATAAATCTACTGTGTACCATACATACATATATTTTTATTTTTTTATTTTTTAAAGATTTTATTTATTTATTTGAGAGAGAGAGAATGAGAGGGAGCACGTGAGAGGGTCAGAGGGAGAAGCAGACTCCCTGCTGAGCAGGGAGCCCGATGTGGGACTCGATCCCGGGACTCCAGGATCATGACCTGAGCCGAAGGCAGTCGCTTAACCAACTGAGCCACCCAGGTGCCCCATACATATATTTTAAAGATGTCATATTTAAGTAATCTCTACACCCAATGTGGAGCTCGAACTCACAGCCGTGAGATCAAGAGCCACATGCTCCACCGACTGAGCCAGCCGGGCGCCCCTGTACTGTGTAGCATATTTAGGGTATTCATTTGCTACTCTTACAACCAGCAAATTTGTTTTTTTTGTTTTTTGGTTTTTTTTAAATGAAGAACTTGGGGTCCTTCATCACTAGTAGTAGCCTCTTCTTTTTGCCCCATTCTTCATTCAACGTTGTAAAGTGATAATTTACAATGAAAGTAGTGTTCATTTATTTAAAAAATTTTGGCAATATGATTCTTTCTTCATATAAAATCTTACTGGTGAGTCTAATCTGTAAAAATAGATCTAAGGGAAGCTGTTCTTTCTGAAGAGGGGCTGGAGAACCCAATAAATTAAATATTGGAAATGCTCAAAGTAATGAAGGCTAAGATTGACCACCCTGGCCTTAAGTCAAGCATATGCTACAAAAATATTTAAGGAAGACAAATGTGCTTATTCCAAGTTGGGCACAAAAATAAAGGGCTGATATAAAATCAGTCAATACACATTACTATAAATTACTTACCATAAGAGCCTCGGCCAGCCATTTTATGAAATTGTTGCCAAGTGAGAGGACCTTGAACTCCCCAAGGCCTTACTGTTCTTTTTTTCTGAATAGCATCCTGAAGAACTGGCTGAAGAGATAGGAGCATTCGAAGTATATCCTGTGAGCACTGCATACTCACATCTACAACCATTAAAAAAAAAAAAAAAAAGTAAGAATTGCTATTGCCAATACGAAGAAATAAAATTTCGTAACAAAATACATGAAAGTTCAACTTCAGTCATCAAGATTAAGCATCTGCTTGTGCAGAGAACTGTATTAGGTTCAATCTCAAATGATCTGTAGAAATGGTTCTTCTAGATACTTTCCTAGAATAGACATAAGAAAAGTTATTATAACTCCTCTCCATAAAAAAGTCACTCACATTATTAGCTAACCAATTTATAAATTAATCAAATAAATTTCTTCCTTTTCTGCATTTGTTTTGGTTGTTTTTGGTGCTTGTAGGTATTTTCCCAGAAAGAACTCTACCTCACACTGAAATGAGTTATAAACTGTGTACCTTAATAACCACTATGGTAAAATGATCAGATAGATAAGACTGGTTATATTGATTAAAGTTTAATTTGGGAAAAATAGTAGACTGTAACAATTCTGAAATACAGAACTTGTACAGTAACAAATGAACTTGCTTACACTGTAAAAAGTGTTATAATATCCATAGATACTTTATAAAACTAGATTTACAGATTTATGGATTATATTATTATGACCTGCATTTCTGACCAACTATCAGAATGGGTATGAAAGATGCTGCTTCATGTCAAATGGCATTAAAAAAAAAAAAATCACTAAATGTTACTGATACGGTTAATCTGTGCCCCCAGTACACTCAGTTGTACCATTAAACATGTTTGAGCACTTGTACATTACATCTTTCAACTTTTTTAAAAAAAAGATTTTATTTATTTGAGAGAGAGCGTGCGCAATAGAGAGAGCACACAAGGAGAGGGAGAGTGAGTGCAGACTCCCCTGCTGAGCAGGGAGCCTGACCGAGGGCTCAATCCCAGGACCCTGGGATCATGACCTGAGCTGAAGGCAGACACTTAACTGACTAGGCCACCCAGATGCCCCTAAATCACTCAACTTTAATTCATTATTATTACTGCCTAATTTATTATTTCTGGCTTTCATTCCCTAGATCTAAATAGTGTACAGAATTATAAGTAACTTAATTTCAGATATACTGCTTAGTAACTATTACGTTTAAATAACCTACTGTAGGGTTGCCTGCATGGCTCAGTCTGTTCAGCATCCGACTCTTGATTTGGGCTCAGGTCATGATCTCAGCGTTCTGAGATCAAGCCTCATTTTGGGCTCTTCACCGGGTGTGGAACCTGCTTAAGATTCTCTCTTTCCCAGGCGCCTGGGTGGCTCACAGTTGGTTAAGCGTCTGCCTTCGGCTCAGGTCATGATCTCAGGGTCCTGGGATCGAGCCCTACATCGGGCTCCCTGCTCAGTGGGGAGTCTGATTCTTCCTCTCCCTCTGCCCCTCCCCCTGCTCCTTCTCTCTCTCTCCCTCTCTCTCAAAAAGTAAATCTAAAAAAAAAAAAAAAAAAGGTTCTAACCCTCTCCCTCTGCCCCTCCCCAACTCCCTCTCTAAAAAATCAGTATGTAAACTACTTAATAGAATATGTAGTCACTAAGTAACAACAAAGCTATCTGAAATGGACTAATGACTTACACACTGGTAAATCAAAGCAAGTTATAAAACTATAGAAGATATTTTACATAAACAGTATAAAATATAATTATGTGTATTCATATCTGAATATTCACATAAAATGAAGTCTAGAAAAAGTTGCTATTGGCTAAGGTTATTTATCATAATCACATGGGGAACTTTTTAAGGACATATATGCAGAGCTACCATGAGAAATTCTGACCTGGGTTTAGCTCAGGAATTTGCATTTTGATTTTAATTCAGAAAAAATTCTCAAATACTTCTTCATTCTTTTAGAAAATATATTTACTGGGTGCCTGGGTGGCTCAGCTGGTTAAGCGACTGCCTTCAGCTCAAGTCATGATCTGGAGTCCCGGGATCGAGTCCCACATCGGGCTCCCTGCTCGGCAGGGAGTCTGCTTCTCCCTCTGACCCTCCTCCCTCTCATGCTGTCTCAAATAAATAAATAAAATCTTAAAAAAGAAAAGAAAATGTATTTACTGAAGACCTACTATGGGCCAGGAATTATTCTAGCTGTGGGGAATACTGTGTAAATAAATTCTTACTCACATCTTGAGGGATCTTACTATCTTGTGTGGGAGACTGACATGAAAAAGAATTATAACTGTATACAGCCACAGGTGCCAGGTCTCTATTTAAGCTGAAATCTGGTTGGAAAGCGATGATTAAAAGGTTATGATTTTTAAGAGTGATCATCATGAAGGATAGACACACTGATCAGCAGAATAGAACTGAACATCCAGAAATCTCACATAGTCCATTTATTTTTGACAGGGTGTCAAGACAATTTAATGGGGAAAGATAATCTTTTTAACAAATGGTTCTAAGACAGTTGGATATCCACATGCAGAAGAATAAAGTTGGAACCCTTCCTTATACCAAATACAAAAGTTAATTCAGAATGGATTATACACCTAAATAGTGTTATAACTATAAAACTCCTAGAAAAAGAAACAGAGGAGTAAATATTCATGACTTACTTAGGGTTAGGAAAAGCCTTTTTAGATATGACACCAAAGGCACAAGCAACAAGACAGTAAGTATGCTGAACTTCATTAAAATTAAAAACTTTTCTGCTTCAAAGGATACCATCAAGAAAGTGAAAAGACAACCCAGAGAATAGGAGAAAATATGTGGAAATCATATATCTAATGAGGGACTTTTATCCAGAACATATAAAGAACTTACAACTCAATGATGAAAACAAAAAAGTCTAATTTAAAAATGGGACAAAGGTTCTGAAAAAGACATTTCTCCAAAGATATAAAAATGGACAATAAGCACTTGAAAAGCCATCAGGGAAATGCCAACCAAAACCACAATGAGATGACACTTCATACTCACTATGATGACTATAATCAAAAAGACAATGACAAATGTTAATGAAGATGTGGAGACAGCAGAACTCTCACACATTGCTGGTTGGAATATAAAATGGTGCAGCTGCTTTGAAAACAGTCTGACAATTCCTCAAAAAGTAAAACAGAGTGCTATAGCCTAGTAAGTCCACTCACGAGTAATGAAAACATATGTTCACATAAAAACTTGTACACAAATGTTCAAATCAGCATTATTCATAATAGCCAAAGAGTGGAAACAACCGAAATGTCCATCAACAGATGAATGAATAAAGTGTGGTATACCCAATACAACAGAATATTTGGCAATAAAAAGCAAGTATTAATGAATGCATGCTACATGGATGAACTTTGAGAATGCTAAGTGAAAGACACCAATCATAAAAGACCATATGGTGTATGAGTCTATTTATGTGAAATGTCCAAAAAAATCTATATGGAGAGAATGTAGTTGACTGGCATTGAAAGGGAGGGCATGGAGGGAATAGGGAGTGACCTCTAATACGCATGGGGTTTCTTTTCATGGTGATGAAAATGCTCTACAATTGACTGTGGTGATGGCTACACAACTCCGTGAATACAGGCATACCTTGCTTTATTCTGTTTCAAAAATACTGCATTTTTTTTTAACAGGTTGATAGTTTGTGGCAATCCGGCAACGAGCAGGTCTATTAGTATCATTTTTCCAATGTCTCTGTCACATTTTGGTAATTCTCCCAATATTTCAAAGTTGTTCGTTATTACTATATTTGTTACGGTGATCTGTGACCATTAGTGATCTTTGATGTTACTATTATAAATTTGGGGGGACACCACGAACCATGCTCATCTAAGATGGCATACTTAATAAATGTTGTGTGTTCTGACTGCTCCACAACTGGCTGTTTCCCTGTCTCTCTCTCCTTGGGCCTCTTTATTCCCCAAGACACAACAATACCGAAATTAGGCCAACTAATAACCTTGCTGGGGTCTCTAATGTTCAAGTGAATGGAAGAGTTGTACTTTAAATCGAAAGCTAGAAATGATTAAGCTTAGTGAGGAAGGCATGTTGAAAGCCCACAGAGGCTGAAAAGCTAGGCCTCTTGTGCCAAATAGCCAAGTTGTGAATGCAAAGGAAAAGTTCTCGAAGAAAATTAAAAGTGAAACACAAAGATAAGAAAAGTGAAACAGGCTGTCTGCTGATAAGGAGAAAGTTTTAGTGGTCTGGATAGAACAGAACATTTCCTCAAGGCAAAACCTAATCCAGGGCAAGACCGCTTTTCAATTCCATGAGGGCTGAGACAAGTGAGGAAACTGCAGAAGAAAAGTCTGAAGCTAACAGAGGTTGGTTCGTGAAGTTTAAGCAAAGAAGCCATCTCCATAACATCGAAGTACAAGGTGAAGCATAAGTGCTGAGGTAGAAGCTGCAGCAAGTTATCCAGAAAATTAAGCTAAGATCATTAATGAAGATGGCTATACTAAATAACAGACTTTTCAATGCAGACAGAACAATCTTCAATTGGAAGAAGACATCATACAGGGGTTTTCACAGCTAAAGAGAAATTAATGCCTAGCTCCAAAGCTTTAAAGGACATGCTGTCTCTCTTGTTAGGGGCTAATGCAGCTGGTGACATTAAGTTGAAGCCAAAGTTCATTTACCATTCTGAAAATCCTAGGGCCCTTAAGAATTATGCTAAATCTACTCTGCCCCTGCTCTATAAATGGAACAACAAAGCCTGCATGACAGCACATCTGTTTATATCATGATTTACTGAATATTTTAAGTCCACTGCTGAGATTTACTGCTCAGAAAAAGATTCCTTTCAAAATATGACTGCTCAGTCTATGGCCATACCACCCTAAACGCGCCTAATCTCCTCAAAATATGACTGCTCATTGGTCACCCCACAGCTCTGACGGTGATGTACAATGAGATTAATGTTGTTTTCATGCCTGCTAACACAACATCCATTCTGCAGCCCATTGATCAAGGAGCAATTTCAACTTCCAAGTCTTACTATTTAAGAAATACATTTCATAATGCTGTAACTGCCTTAGATAGTGATTCCTTTGATGGATCTGGGCAAAGTAAATTGAAAAGC